TGGAGTTCATGCACACAGGTGCAGTTTCAAACCTTTATATGATTTCTACTTGCATTGAATATTATTTTTTTAAGTTAACCAACAGTGGTGTATGTACAACTCTCTTGCGATGAAAATGGAATATATGTACGTATAGGTTTTAAGTTATTTCTGTTTCCAAACGAGGGGGGTGCCCGCCCTTCCCATCCCCCGGATATTGTATCCTTCTGTTGTTTCAATAAGTGGAGATGATGTATTTGTCCATATTAACTTCAGTTGTACCAAATTGTAAATTATTTATCAATATTGAAATTATTCATGTGCCTGAATCATCTACAATGGTATCATCTACATTGGTATCGATCGTTTTGTTTTTTATATTCGAGGAAATGCGAACTGAAACTGTTTACAGTAAAAGATTTTCTCATTGGGGCGCAACCGTTGTATTAATATCAGTAAATAAATTTTCACTGTCGATACTTACTTTAATTTGTATAAACTTTGGCTTTCAGTTCTTGTGTGACCTTCTGAAAACGGTTACGCTATTTCATTTTTTTTTTCAAAGAAAAGAAAAGCAAGAAAATGTTTATTTTCGTAATATGATGATATTTAGACATACCGGTAACAGTTATTCTCAATGTTATGAGGTCGATTGTAACGGGGAAAAGCAATGTAGAGTAGCATTAACATTTTTAGATTAGAACATTGCCTTTGTGTATATCATAAATACAATATTAAAGAATTTAAATTTAAATTAAAGAAGTTTAAGGAACCTGTCTTTTTTTCTTTTTTATGGAGGGGGGAGATTTATTGCAATTGCGCAAATGATCAAGGATAGGATTTGGTATTCCTAAAAAAACAACAATAAAAACCTCTATTCTATTTTTTTTTTTTTTTTTTTTTTTTTTTTTTTTTTTTTTAAACATAAAATTTCATTGGGATCGTATCGCTTGTCATTTTGACGCTTCGTAATTAACAACAAATTTAATGTTATGTTAAACGTTTTTTTGAAATCGCAAAAGTTATCTCCCCCAGTGTGTTGTACGTCTTTAAGTCAAAATCTTTCAGTTATATTGAAATGTTGTAGACGTCAAGCAGACAAAAATTAAAATATTTTTCAATATTGCTTCACACATTAAGTGTTGCTATCTTCAAATTTTGAGATTCATTCAATAATAAATAGACATTTTACAGCTGATTGAAAATTTGATTGAAGTCTAAGTCTGTTTCATGATCCTGGGGTCTGGTCTTTAAACAATCTGTGAAGAATTCTCATAGGTACAGATTGTGTCCCGCTAAAAGCAGACCTGTTTTTGTATTCTTATGGAGCAGAAACTATTCAACATAAAAAGAAGTTTCTAACTTCCAATTCAATATTTAGATATATCGACGACAAGTTATCAAACATTATTTTCATTCCTAGGTTGATTCCATCCATTCCTATATCGAACTCGAAATAAAAGCACCACACAGCTTCATAAATCTGTTTCATATTTACATTTTTTAATAGAGAAAGAGATTACGGACAAACTAACAGCTAAAGTTTATGATAAACATGATTAATTGAATCTTTTTATCGTAAACTTTCCTTATTTACACGTATGTAGTAATATTCCATTATCATCTGTATTTGGAGTTCATGTCGTCCAGTTGATTCGATATGCAACAGTATTATCCTGGGAACTAACAATTTCTAAAACGATACAGGCTATTTACAAATAATTTGATGATATAATTAAGATATGAACAATTTCGTTTAAGGTCAATATTTTGCAAATTCTGTTCGCTACAATTTCTTGTTTGCATATACAATCTGTCGTTTCGTCAAATGTATTTCTTACAAATTGTTTGGTCATTCTTTTCACATTGATTTGCCAACGGATAATTATATTTGCAGGATCATTAAAAGGAGCGTACGGCGAGTGTAACCGGTTGAAATGGGATGCTTACTTCTCCATAGTATCTGATACCACCTCAGTGTCCAGAGTTTTTTGGCTGCACTTACAATTTGTATTGTTTAAACTCGACTTAGCATGACCACTGTTAGTTATCTTCACATGTCATCAATATAAATGGTCTAATGAAGAAGACAAAATTGAAAATGAATATTGAAAGTAAGTGTCGCAATCAGGAAATTCTCTATCTATTTTAGGTCCCATATAGAACTAAAATATTGTGCCCACTTGATATATCTCGTGCAGGTGAACATGTGATTTCTGAAGTATAACAGCCAATCAGAGAGCTAGGCACAGTCAAATATTGAGATAATAAATTGTATTATTACTGGGCGTTTTTTACATTAGCGTATGACATGAAAATAAAGGATAAAAATATATGTATCATTTATTGGTATTAAGTCATCCACATAATGCTACGATATTTCACAAATGAATTTTTCATCGGTGGTTACATGTACTACATAGCTTGCTAAAATCATTAGAGAGGTATTGAGTCAGGATATATCTATCAATGACGTGTGTTGTGAGCAAATATTTGCTCCTTTTTTAGATAAAATATATACATGTTATTCCTTAAAACTGAACTGAGTGGTAACTCGAGCATTTATATTGTGTGCATGATATATTACTCCTCTGAATGATTTTTTTTGTTTAATTTTGCTTGTCTTACTCCAATAAAACACCATTCTCCATTCAAAAATAGTAAATTCATTAAAATTACACAGATATACTTTACTTACACAGATTTCATCAAGAACCTTTCAGTGATACATGTAAGTGATACATATACCATAGCAATATTGAGATTCTATCTTTCTAGCAAAAATAACTAAATATTCATGTACAGTTATTGAAGCAGAGCGTTACAAGCAAAGTTACAAACATGCCAAATATCGTGTCTTCCATTCAAGAACATGTTGATATATGTAGAAAATTGCCTCTAAGCTTCTTTACTCTTGTGGTCGGTAGATATTTTTCACGATAAAATCTTAAGAATCCTGAATTGAATAGTGATCATATAGAGGAAAAGACTAAAAAATGAGAACGAGTATACTTACTGTGAATTACCTGAACAAGTAAGTAAGAAGGTAATAACTCTCATTTTAGGTCAAGGCATGAAAAGAATATTATTGCCATGAACTGCTTACTCCCCTTATTTTCAAGATATGTGTTATTTTAAACACAAATGATCAATTTATCAAATTTAAAAGCATTGTTTCTGTATATTATTTATATCTTGATTAAATGCACGGAAAACACATTCTAAATTTGAAACACTGAAAATACTAAATATGCAACAAGAGATAAAAGATTAATAAAAATAACTAATATGCCAAATTGTTAACTGCGTGAACAAATAGACGAGAAAGTACGAGACTTCTTCAAACGTCAGTGGCATAAATTCCTTCATCATTGTCAAAAAGACTGCAAAGGTTAAGAAAATAGCCATACAAGTACTCATTGTCTCTCCTGATCGGGCAGGAATCACGAAGAAAACTACATTTAATGCAGATAAAATCCACACAGGTAGAAGATGTGAACACACTGAAAATAATGCCTTTCTTTTGATGTGAATATTGAGCAACACTTGTTCTTCTCTTTGTTCAATACCAAGGACATCTTCTAAAGATGCTGTACCGCTTGTAACTGTCCATTCTATGTGTTCAGTAAAATATCTCAACAAATCTTCATTTAGTGTTAGTTGTAAACGAAGATTTACAACACCCGGGAATCGATTTAAATACAAAACGGTACATATCTGTTTATCAAAAGGACAGTATTTCAAACTAATTTTGCTTGATGTTGAAATACTATAAGAATATGACAGGTCAACTCTGCCCTTAGATGACAGAATTGACGTCGAATCTTCAGAAAAACAATGACGAGAAAAGCTTCATTATGAATATAAATTGAACTTGGAAACCACAATTGTTTTGACGGTAGCGTGACGTATGTAATGTCATTGTATTCAGATGCATTCCAATTTAGACGTTTGTCAATCCAGTTCATTATTGTTGCCATTGTCAAAGACAGGACTTGAGTTTTCTCATCCACACTGTTTATAGAGAATATATAGAAACTTGACGTGGTATTTAATATATCACTGCCATGTTTAATCGGTGGAACCAAAGGATCCGAGTGATTTTTTTTATGTACTGGTATAAATCTGATCGGGTGAGGCAATACACGCTTCGAAATATGGAAACAAAAAAAAAAAAAAAAATAATGGCCATTACAACCAAAGAACATACCTCCATTTTCATTTTGCAATATTAATTTTCCATGCGTAAAGTCAGCCTTCAGTAGTTTATCCGCTGTTTTTTTGGTTGATTGTGGATTTAAATATCGGAACCAAATGAATAATCATTTAGGAATTACTCGAGCTTTGGCTACGAACAGTGGAGTTTGTTACACTGAGGATTTACTCTTTGACACTATGGCAATTTAAACAGTTTCATTTTTGTTTATTATCAAACATGCCATAAAAACTTGCAAGAATATAAATCAGCAGAATTAATGGACGGTGCATTGTCTTGTCGTAGACATTCATTAGTGTTTGCTAAACCTTTTGAATACAGAAAATGTATTTGACTTATACAATATTAAATGCTCGCAGATTGCTTGCAGCGATTTATGACGTTTACACACCTTGGGTGTTCAATGCTGAAAATCTAAGAAAATTTTATAAACTAGTATACAAAATTTGATTTTATATTGCAAGATAAGAAAATCAATAGGTCTATATATTTAAAGGAATATTATACAATTATGGACTTTTTCTGCGGTGAATATGGTTTGATATTTACCAGAAGCATTTCAGTATTGATCAAGGGTTTACTATATATTCAGGATTTTAATAGATAAGATATTGAAGGCGGTATGACTAACGAACTTAATTGCAGAAAAGTTAGTAATGTCCGGATGACAATTTATATATCTTCAGGTCCATGTTTTCTTAAACCATCATATCCATCGAATTGTTAGGATAATATTCCATCAATAGGCTTGCCTAACGTTTCTTTTGTTCAGATATACAGCTCGCCCCGGCCGTTACAGCCAACGTTATTTGAGGTTTGAGGGGTGTCTTTCCTCGAAACTTCTTTCTTCCCTTGACATGATCATGATTAGTATCCATACCTCTTCACATGGTGAGCAGTTTGAGCTCCATTGCTTAGGAAATAAAACCTTCACAAAATAAATTTGCTTAATTTTTCTATATATCAAATTGTATTAGAGTAAATTACATGCTCCTGTCCACAATGAGAAGGTGAGTCACGTGAAGATATTTGAAAGAAATGACTAAATGTTTAGATATTGTGTAAGATATCTACATCTCAGAATATGTTTAAGAGATTTTGTAGTGTAGAACGTCTGTTTTCATTGGATGAGTGAGGAATTCTTTCCCTTTTCTCTCAGGATGGTTTTCATAAAAAGCTTTTATTTCAGCGCATGCTTCCTCTTTTTGAACTTCCTCAAGGCTTTGAATATAACTGAATGTAGTCCTTAAACGTACTAAGTGATCAATGGACCCCTAGAAATGTAGAATAATCTTTGGGAAAAAAACGTGTTATGGAAATATATGTACATGACAAATGATGAACGTACTCATTTTTCATATATTTTAATATATATATATATATATATATATATATATATATATATATATATATATATATATATATATATATATATATATATATACTGAATTAGGATGGAAAGATATTTTTACGCCTGACTTGTTGTCATTTGAATTCAATTACTTAATTAAAATAATGTTTGAAATATAAAATCTAAAATATTGCTGAAGACTTATGCTTAAATCGTTGCCATCAAACACTTTTCTTGAAACCAATCGGACCTGGTCACAATTGTCGAGAAATTGTTTCCATCTCATGTCATAATACTGGGGTGAGTCCTTTATCCACTTTAAGATAAATTTTTGGAAATCCGCATTTAAAAGTGAGCTCTCATCTAAAACGTTCCAAACTAAAACTGTAATTAAAAAAAAAACAGAAATATCTTTATTTAATTCAGAATACATTTTATGAATGTTACACGTTTTAAATTATGATTATTACATTTATACATTTTGACATTTTTAGATCATACCAAAATTTCCTCCTGGTTTCAATACTCGGGCAATTTCGGAAATGTTCTCTTCATTTGCAAACCAGTGAAAGCATTGAGCAGCAATTATGGCCTTGAGAAGGAAAAAATATCTCAAATAACGTCCAAAGGGGTCAATTTTCAATGAAAGCCATTCCTGTTAAAGGATTAGTAAAATTAAGTTCTCCAAGATTAAAAGTCATTGTTGCAATGTTTCATTTAAAACTTATGTCCAAACAAGGGAATAATAGGTAAAAATAAAATAGCTCCTTTTGCCGTTCAGATTTAAAAAAAAGAAATTTAAAGGACAGATCACCAGAAAAACTCATTTATTACTCTCATAATGAGCTTTCTTACTTTAACAGAATTGTCAGGAAGTGGTATTTTGTTGGCACTGCACTGTCTTGTCTCTACAACAGGGATTTTTTCTTCCAATGTTTTAATGAAATCATTGGATGGTTCTGTTACTAGTACTTTCATTCCCTGAAATTAAAAAAAATATTATTCATGCTGCAGTCATTACTATGATCTACGTTATTTTAGTTATTTTTCAAATAATTTAAATTGGCAAAATATTTTTAATTAATAAGAAATTTGCTTATATATGATATTTTGTTATTAAGTTTGCTTTTCCATTATTTCTATTAATTTTATTAATTTGTTTATTAAATTATTTTGAAAATATACCTGAGGACAGTGTTTCAGCAAACATTCTGTAAATTTGCCTGTTCCCGCTCCTAATTCTAAAATATCGTACTCACACTCTATTGAACGAAAAACACGTGTTATGCTTGTTATGATAATTTTACAATAATTATATTTTTCAAAACTATAAAATAATTACCACTCGATATGTACAGAGAGATAAAAGTAAAAAAAAAAAATCTTCTGAATGTGTATTTTTAATTAATTACCTCCATCCAACAAATCCACTGAGTCCGTTGCCATTAAAATAATTTCTTTTACAACATCGTCGGTATAACCAGGACGATACGTCTCGTAGTTCCCTCCCTTTGTGTTAAAAATAAGAGTATTTAGGTCACAATTCTAAATTATTTTATCAGTGCCTAAAACCTTATATTTCGTGTCTTAACGTTTTAATGTGTTACAGACATATTCATTACTGACAAATCTTTCGAACGATTAATAACGGTATACTCTAAAATGATATAATTTTTCCTCTAAATATCGGAATTTGAACTGTATGGATAATGCAAATACTTACATCAACGAATCCAGCTTTTGCTAAAGGTATAACACTAATATTCCTGTCAGAGGACATCCTGTTACATGTACAGTAAAATGTTAATTGGAAGACAATAGGCTAAATACACATGTCAAGAGCGTCCGAGAACACGATTTCGTAAAATATTCATTGATCTAACTTTAAATGGGACAGTCCAACGGCAATAAACTTTATCTTCGCATAATAATAAATATTGGTGACTAAGCAAATTTATAGTTATGATGTAATCTTTAACATTAGAAAGATTTTGAAAACATTTCCTGTCCATGAACAGTATTGACGTATTTTTTAACAGCGTCTTAAGTAGTAGGCAGCTGGCTATGTAATACCTTCGTTTATGACATAGAACTACATGTAAGTGTAATGTTGATAAGAGTAAAGGAGATATGTCAAAAGTAATGACCTTCTGAAATCTTGTCCAGCCTTTTTTCGTGTGACATTTTTCGTGGTGAACATTAAATTTTAAAAATGACACGGTAAAATCGTATGAAAGAATAATGTAATTATCAGTCTAATTGTCTTAGATATGATTATATTATTCCTAAAACTAATAATAGTTAAATAATTTTATGACTGTAATAGTCATCGTAACATTTATTTCAAATCAAGATGAATTGTAAATGTGGAAATTTTTTTATCATTCGTATCGATCAATTCTGTTCACAGGTATTCGCCATTTACGAAGTTCCAATAATCAAATCGTTTTTATACCAAATCCAATCATAGATCTCAAATCTACATCAAGTACAGGGGCAGCTGATATACTCCATATATGTAACAATGAATCAGTATGAATTGTACAGAGGTAAAATGGGGGGAAATATTTTTTGAAGCAATGATATCCATTTTTAATGTAATATACGAAGGGTTATCTTGCATAAAAAGTTGGTGGACTGACGCCATAAAATAAAAACAACTTAGCTGGTACGTCGATGATTTTTTACACATTTATGGAATGAATTTAAAAACTATACTGTATAACCTGGGTTGGGTTAGTTTACGCTTTATAAACCGCGAAGAGCTTTATAAAAAAGCGTGAACTGTTCCAACACTGGTTATACCAGTAAAACTTGGAAAGATATTGAATTTATTCCTTATAATTTAATTTTCCATCATTAAGTGTAGAAAAAAAAAGAAGAAAATTTACCCTTCAAAAATGCCTTCAAATTGAACATGTTTTAAATGTAACGTCATGCGGATCGATAAGTTTTTGACGTAAGTTATTGTGACGTAGGCAGCACAGGTTAAAAGATATAAAGTATTTTTATCCAATCAAATGACGTGTTACATCCAAAATAAAATTATTCAACATCATTTTTTTCTGTTTACATATTAATAAACTATCAGCTTTGAAGAGTTTTTTGTAAGTATACGACGTATATTTATAAGTAATGAGTCTGACGATGAATTTAAATTTTCACGTTCATTCACTCGTGTTATGTAATACATTTGTTCTACATAATTCTTAATTCATTTTCTCGATTCTTAGAGATTTTATCATAAATGCAATAAACACTGTTAAAATAGGGTGTGTTTGTCTTTTTGCCGCAATTTAAACTTTCACTTTCAGTGGGAAAAGCAAGAATAGTTGGAAATTTTTGAATTTGACGGAGAAAGACAAAAAATGTTCAAATTAACTGTTTTTAATTGGCATAAAGGGTTCAGAATGAGGAGAGACATATTATATGCCGAATCGTGGTGCAGGTGTACAAGGTCAATCACTTCGAAAAGTAATCTTGGGCGCTTGTGATTGAACTCAGACAAGCAGACTTAGCTGCCAAAGTCAAGTGAGGTTTTTTTATTTTTTGTATATATTCAATTACATCACTTTTGTTAAAATCATTGGTTCATGAAGTTTTAAATTTATATAAAGAAGAATGGTTTCAGTCAGTATTTAACTCTAAGATACCGTATAGCGAGTTTCTTTAGCGGGTGTAAAATTTGGCGTTTTGCTTGCTCAAAGGTATGCCAATAATTTTGGCAGAACTTTTTTTGGCGGACACGGAGTTCCATGACTTTGCAAAAAAGAGGAAATTTATTTTTTAGATTAGTAACAGTACTTTAAATATACGTTTGAATACCAATTTACGCAAGTACCAATACCAGTTGAAAGACGTAAAGTTTAACAACAGACTGATCAAAGTTATTCAAGTTATTTTTCTTGTATTCGGTACTAATAAGCAAGAGTGCAAATTTAGCGATTAAAATTTTAGCGGTCTACTACAACACCGCAAAAATAAGCCAAAGTTAGCACCCTGCTAAAAATTCCCCCTATACGGTAGCTCTTGAAGAAAGTATTCTATGGCAGAGGGAGCAGACGTTAAAAACAATGATGTTGTCAGACTGGATGGTCAAATAATATCTTTTGTATTCAGTGACACATTGACAAATTCTCATCGTATAGACAATTTGTATGAAACAGATGTGGCACTTTTCTTATTTACGTAGTTTAGTTAGCAGCTTATTCCACTATCACATGCATATAGTGTTTATATTTTTATATGTATGTCTCTTATTTTATAAGCTGCAAATCTGTAGCTGGCTGATCTGGAAAAAAAGTTGGGATGGACGACCAAAGAGCTTGAGATGGCAACATAAATATAAGGAGATATAAATCGAGAAAACATCACACCTTTTGTGGTCAATAAATATACACTTTTTTCAATTGGTGGCAATTGGCTCTCTGGTCGTCCATCCAAATTTTTACAAACTAGCGAGCTACAGATCTGCAGCTACAATTTTATCATATTATAATACATTTTATCAAAATTTAATGATTCTACATGCATGTGAAAAAAATATATGTAATTGACGAAATCTTGTTAAACTGAAATCAAAACGAAAAGAGTATACATTCATTTGGATCAACGAAAAATAAATACGTTTGCATTCAACAATACGCAAATATGCTTATCTGCTTAACTAATTTTGTTGTACCAATTTTACAATTTCAGCCTTGCACTTCATACAAATGATTAACAACAGTCCAGCGAGGACCCAAAGCATGTAGCTGATAATGACATATTGTACTACTCATTCCAATTAAAGGTGAACTAAATGAGAATTTTACTTGCATAGATACGACAATATATGTAGCATTATATATTTATAATAAATTAAAGTTTCTATTAACAATGATTGTGTTTCAGATAGGGCCAATTAATACAGAATGATATTATAGGGTAATGTTAATGATTTCATTTTTCTATAGTTATATATGAAATTCATATTAAATTTCATATCTACAGAGTAAGAATTACAACATTTCAGCCAGATATGTTATGTTTTGCACGATCCTGAATAACATCCTTGAAAATACACATGTACAGGAAGATGTTTTTATTTTAAGATATGTATACATTTATAAAACATGCATCAAAATTACCACTGCGTTACAGAATGTAACACTTAATTGTTTCATCATTAAATTTATCATAACGGCTACTGGTTCAAAACAAAATCAAGCAATCATATTATTAACAACACATCTAGAATATAATGTAAACCTCAAAATATCATCTATAATATAAATATACAAATTGTGGTCAGGAGTTATATGTACACTTATTCCAATCTTTAATGATTATTGTTTGGTTGATACAGTTTAACATTCTTAATTATTTAATATATACATATTATATTCACAAGCATACTTCTTTTGTGAACAATGATATATATCTGTTGTACTTCATTTATTCCAGTGCATGTATTTCACCCGTTCTCTAACTTACTGATCAAATTCCTAAATTTATATTTTGAAATACTTTTCTAGTATTCAGATTTTTTATCTTACTAATGCAAAAAGAAAAAAAAAAACAAAACAAAACAAAACAAAACAAAACAAAACATTTTAATATTCTACAAAAAATGCAAAACAGCTTTCCTTTAACCTTAAGGTGAGTAACACTCTATGACATTAGCGCAGAAGGATTTCTTCGTAGATTTATATTATTTACAAATGATGTTATAATAAAAATATTTTTATTTACCATCTAGAATTTTTCCGTAGGGAATACAAATCTTTTACAGCCTTGTCTCTTGTTACTCATGAGTAATTGTCAGTTTAGAGTCTATGAGATATTAATTTGGATATTTGGTTCTTAAGGTGTAAGGTTCTTTTAAATTTCCTTTTTCTAAGATAAATAACAAATGATCAAAACAAATGTAGATAAACCAAGAATTAAAAAAGTCATTATAAGCATAATGGAGTCAATTTTGCGAAGAAAACAGCTCTGCAGAAATATTTTGCTGATGCACACTTTAGTCTATCCTTACTGTTGCTAGTAATCAATTTATTGTTGTTGTTTCCAAACTCAGCATTAGAGGGTAGGAATTCAACGGCACTTTCGGATGAAGCTGTTGGCAAAATTTTAGTTTCAGGTTTAGTGTTCAATTTGATTGTTATGAGAGAAACTGTAGTAGAAATCGCGCAAAGAAACAGATGGAACGCAACAAAAACAGTTATATAAGGAACATCCGTGGAATTTCGAGGCATTGTTTGATCAAATAAGGTCAGAAATACAGTAAATGTTAAAAATAGAGTCAAACAGTACGCCATTCTCTCCCCTGATGCTACAGGAATTAAAAATGTCAGAGAATTCATCAAAGCCAGAATAATGACAGGCATAACCGTGCTCAGTATGAAATATTGGTACCTTCTTCGGAATTCCAGTGTGTAAACAATCTGAGTTAAATCAAACTCAGAGTTATGGATTACAGCGTGAGTAAATCTTTTGAACTCCCACTCTCCGTTTTCTGTGATCTCTTCAACATCGTTCTCGGATCTTGCACGCGGAATAACCTTCTGCATCCAGTCGGTCGTCTGCCATGCTCCAACTACCATGCTACATTTTTGTTCATCAAATGGAAACTTTTTCACAAGCAGATGACATTGCACTGTATACTTAGCTCCTGGAAACCATGCCACATAACCTTGAGACGTGATGGAAACGAAAGGATGGGCTCCAAGGTCATGGATATGTTCTTCAGAATAATACAAGGATATATCTGGTATCCAAACTTTTTTATAAGGAACG